CACTAACACAAATAGAGGTATACACATAGTACGTATACACGTGTAGTACTTTTTGTTTCCCCTTAATGAAATTAAATTTGCACAGACAATATGAAAATAGAATACAATTAAAAACTGGAATAAATATACGTTAAATGTAGAATCAATTGAAAAACACTGTATATGTTATATAAAAAGAGAAACAAGTGAACATAAGTTGAAAATTCGTAAATTAAGTTGTACACATATTTTTCAATGTAATAAACTAAATTTATACATAATTTAATAAACTAAATTAAAAAATATTTATACAATGTTAGTGAAATTCATTCGTCACTTGGATAAGAAATTAATTCTTAATGGAAAAAAACGTTAACAACAAAAAGTTGCAGAGAAATGCAAACACTTTTGAGCCAACGCGCAAAAGCATGTACTTTGATTATTATCGTACTAATTACAACACAGATATCAAAATTCAGTGTCTCATTTTTTTTAATCCTTCATATTTTTGAGAAACTAGTAATTATTAACATATTATATGGTTCTCTTAAAAATATAGAACAAAATAAAACTGTTTTATTCCAAAGAACAACTAAAAATCATCCAAGATAATTTATGTAGAGGCAAAAATTATAGCACAAGTCAAGGAAGATGATCCCTCGTACAAAAAGAAGTATGACAGATGTAAAATAAGTTTTTTCCATGCGAAGTTTCGTCCAAGGAAAAATGTTCATGATAATTGTTTTGTCATACTTTTCACACCCCATTAAAAATTGTATTCGAGTAAAGCGAATTTTCTGCTTCGTCTCGATATGGTTCCAAATAATTTTAGAGATAAAAATTGATTTTTAGTTATTTTCAAGATAAAGATTACAATTCTCACACATTACGGAAAGATTAATATTGCAATTTAAAAAAATTCAAACTAATCGAACCGTCTGCTTTAATTCTCAAAACAAGAATGTTTCCAAATAATTTCAGAGACAACATGTGATTTTAAGGTCTATTCTACTTCTGTTCTCTGTCTTTCCATTTTCTAATTTTTTTACCAGTAGCACTAATTGACATTTCTGTGATAATTCTTGACAATTTCGAAAATTATGACTTAATCCCAATTTCATATGAACTATCTGATTTTAAACAAGATCCTCGATATCGATTTGCTGTGAAATAGCCGTTAAGATAATTGCATAATGTTCGCTTGATCATGTAATTCTGAATAGAAATTCAAAATATGTTACATAACTTTTTGACGAAAATAAATATTTTTAAATGAAGAATCAAGAGTGGGTATCATTTCTCTTTCTACAAACTAGATAGAATAATTTATATAAAAAAAAGACACTGAATTTTAGAATGTACTCTATGATGGAAAGTATGAAAGTTTACTATTTTAGAAGAACTTACCATCTCCACCGGCTCTTATAACAGCAGGTATGGCAACAGAAACAGCTTCTACGTTTCCTTTGCCAATGTTGCTGGTCTCGTGCTGCATTATCGTTGCTCTATAAAAATAAATACATATAAATAACAATCTTACTCATAATAAAATATTATCTACTTAAGCAAAGGTTCATTAAAATCGAGTGGCGCTGCTAAGATCCATAAACAACAAAATTCAGATTTTTTCGATTTTCGGCCTAAAATTTAAATAACCTGAGAAAATTCAACATTTTCCAATGCATCCAACTTTTTTATATCTTGACAGATTTTAACGAAACTTTCTACGTGCATACAACATCTGCAGAAGGCAGGTTTCAAATTTTTATTAGAGATTCGAATAAGAAGATTTAAAAATTGTGCCCTTTGTGTTTTTCTTCGTAAATCTGATCTACAGCAATTTTCTTTAATAGTTTGATATACATCATATAGTCAACTAATCTCTCTTTATCTAAAAAAATTAATTCGTTAAATGTTAAAAAAGTTATTCAACTGTAAGATGTCTACGAATATTTATGGACCTCACTGTGCGTAAAAGAAGAGAGACACATTATTTTTTTAAATATAGTACGTTCGTTTTTTTTATATCGCACTAGAAACGTTCAAGACGTATAAAATGAAAGATTTACTTTAGGCGTCGTGCCTCTTTTATTTTTGCTTCCACATATTTCTTTTGCTTCTGCCTTAGAAATTCTTCCATCACGTCACTTATATTAGTTTTAGAACCTAAAATTTGTACTATTCAAATGATTTAAAGAAAAGAAAATAAATGTATGAACTTTTGTCAATTCACAATGTAAAGTTGAACACAGTAAGCCGAGAAGTGTAAATCTTAACGTCCATCAGTTGTATACAATGGTTCTAATAGAGCTTAGATAGTTACTCTAACAAGCATTACTCTAATTGATAACAATTAGTAAGTGCAAAAAAGTAGGGAGAAAATGCTATATTGAACAATTTAATTTTAAATCGATTTTTTACTTGTAGTATACTAAATTATATAGACCCATTGAAAATATAGATTACACATCTTCTTATGAACCGAAAAAAATGTTATGACTTTCATTACTTAGATATTCTATATTAGAAATCACTCACGCAATCAATAACTGTAGGAATCTACGTAAATGTACAAAATATATGAAAGACGAAATAGAAAATTCAGATGTTTTCAGTTAAAATTGATTGATAACTGCGACGTTACATTTCAATAGTCAACAATTGTAAAAATGTGAAATTTCTCAAAACTTTCGCATTATTATTATCAACATCACTCAAAATAAGAAATGATGTATGATATAAGGAAGAATTATTTTTCCGACACCCAACGAAGAAATTTGGCGTCTTTTTGTATCATCTGCAGTTTATGTGCTTCTTAATATCATGAAACTTTCGATTTGATTTGAATTACTTAAAATCATCATTATAAGTTTTGTGTACAATATAACATTGATGGTATCAATTTAAAAAATGTATGTAAACCTTGATATTTTATATGCCTTGATATTTATGTGCATTGCAAGTATTCTTTATATTCTGTGCGTAGTGCACAAAATCTACTAATAACTTGCAAAAGAACACTTTTGAGTTTAGGAATTCATTCATTAAGAAGTTAATTAGTATCGCCAAATTTAAATCTCTTTATGTACTATTTTCGATATTTAATATTTCCGATTCTAGTGGATGGAAATTCATGAAAAAGATCAGAAACATTCTAATATACCAGAAAAACATGTCAAAATTTTGTGAAGTCATTCGATCCGCATTTAACATTGGAAAAAATTCAGTTAATTTTCAAATTCCGAAACAATAAATTCTAATCATCCTTTTATTGTTCCGATTCTTATCTCCGATTTCAATGTACAAAAAGTGTTTAAAAATTCATAGATACAGTAAGAGCAGCATATGTGAGAAATTTTTCAAATCTTTTTATCCATAATTTATGTTAAATAACAATTTATCAAGTTGTCCAATTCTTGAGTAATGAATTTTAATCACTTCTATATACTTGTATTTTTATTCTCTGATTCTAATGTATAAAAAATTATACTATCAATGTACTATCATACAAGTAGTATATGTGAGAATTTTTTCAGATTTTTATGTTGCACGTTGTTTACCCTAGCCCACTCAAGGACAAAGATATAAGCAAAAGTCGGATACTTTTCGAAAAGTAAAGTAATGCTTACTTTAACGGCGAAACGCTATCTTCGACCATTGTAGACCCCTCGTCTCCCTCGATCCCAAAATGATCCTTAGCTTTTTGTTTCTTCAGAATAATATCAATATAACCAGCGATTAATTGAAGTATCTGTTCAGCTTCTGTGGTCTGTACACAGTAATACTGATCCGAATAATCACCAAAATCGAGAGTAAACGTGTTAGGAGAAGCGCCCCAACGACGAACTGTAGTCAATGGCCACGTTTTCAATATTTCTTTTGTCTTTTCGTCCAATCTTAAAACTGAATCCTTAGTAACGCCTAACAAACGCGGCACCAATTTGTTTTTACCCTTCATTTTCTCCTTTACCAGAAAGAATGTGACGCCGTAAGTGCTTAAAGATCTGGCCGTTTTCGTGTACAAGACTTTCGCATCCAGTTCGGACAGACCGATGTGTTTTTTGTGATCTGCGAATATTTTCTTCTCGATACCCTTTACTTTCAGGTAGGACTGCGGCAAGAATTCTTTCAGGCTGAAAAAGAAGAGAGAATAAGTTAATTATAATTGCTATCGTACGAAATCACAATATCAAAATTGTATTTTATTTAAATATTTGTGGAATTAAGAGTATTGATTGTAGTTCGTTACAAAATT